GTCAATATCATTGAATAATAGGCCTTGGTTACATAAAATCGACTATGTGACAATTTAAAATTGTAGAGTTGAAATCAAAAGAAAATCGGACAGAACAAATCTACGAAAGATTGTGATAAATTGGACTGACTAAAAATATCATTGAATTTTTCCGTGTATAAACTTATTCCGTGTTAAATTTATAACCAAAACAAACCCGTTGAAAAAAAGACAGTTTGGTGACGGCGGAAAACTACATATGATGGTGAAGACTATGTTGATGGAACAAGAAGTTGACAAAAACATTGGTATTTCTGAAACGATATTAATCAACTCTATTTAGCTAGTGTGTATGTTATCGTGTATTAATGCTGACATTAGGTGGAAAAAGAAAATGGCTGGTCAGTTTATGATAATATTTTTGATAATATTAATTACTGGAGATTATCAAAATGAGGAGATTACAAACGGACAACCGATTAGAAAACTAATTTATCCAAATAATATAAGGGGATTGAGTAAACAAAACAAGATTAAATAAGCTACATAAGTGCCAAATATTTAGACGCGCAATTGTAAATATATGTGCGTGTACGCTTCTATATTGTGTTAATACATGAGATCATTGAAACAAATTACAATAAGGGGAATTAATGCGAATTATGCAGAATCACAAAAAAACAAAAACACGTTAAATTGTGTTTACCGTAAATATCAACTATGATGAGTACATGAACCAAGACGAAATAAAGCGATTAACTAATTACAATGGTGAATGAAATGGATTGTTTACTTGGTCGGAGCCACTGATTTATTTGTTTAGCACTGTAGATGCTGATTGAATTCTACCGATCTAATTGCAGTATGGTGACTATTCCGAGTGACACAACATCAACTGAACTATGTTGAGATAGTTGGAGGTGGTCAACAGAAGATTCAGTTTGACTTGGGTTTTATACTATTCGGGAATCGTCGGCAAAGTGTAACCGTAACTTTGAGGTAACCGATTCTTCCTGATGGTAGATGACTTTAAGTTTAGAGAACCGAGTTTTGTTATTGTGATAATCCAAGATCAGAGCACAGGGGAAGCTTGAGTGATTCTTAAGATGACTGAATGATTTTGAAACCACTTTTCTTAACAATAAGAAGGAAAGTCTATACAAACCAAGAGTATTTCACAACGGCAGTAATGTAACTAGTTAAATTTTAGTCGTTTTAAGAACTTTATTGACATCTTGGAGCTGATTATCAGTTTTTCGATCTAAATATTGTAGAAATATCGTTACAAAACCTCATTAAACTGAGTGTAAATTTGTTCACGCCAAAAATTCCTTTGCGAATCTTCCATATGTTCATAGTTTTATCAAATATTGATCATCGCCTACAAAAGTCTACTGAGGATGCTAAATCTCCAAAAATAAATTAGGAAAACCATTTCTGTAATTTAGTAATGGAAATTCGAATTTCGCATTTCCGCGCCAAAAGTGCCCATTTTTACCTTCAGTTTGTGTTTTTCATCTGGGAGGACCTTAAATGTCATTGGCTCGTTTTCACTTTTAATAAGCTATATTGTGACCTTTTTCAAGAACATTTTTGTATTGTATATAAATGCATGAGTGTGTGTGATTGTTCGTTCGCTCTTTCGAGTTGTGTGTGGAATTATATATTTTGCCGCATGAATTAGGTCTTCTTCCTCTAGTTAGCAGGACTGGAAGGCAGTGAAATAGCTTAGCTTGTCTCGTTGTTGTATGATTGACTTTCGTTGCGTTCGTCGGTCCTAGGTGGTATCTTAATCCCTCGAGCATAACAAAGTGTTATTAAGAAGTTCATAGAAGAGTAATGAAAATGACATTTTAGGGGAGCTATCGTTTTCATCAGACGAATATGAAAAACTCAAGAGTTAAAACTATTTATTAATTTGACGTATCCAATTCAGTGAACCAATAATAAAATGATTTTGCTATAGAAAAAGTGAATTCTTTCTACGTTTAACATTTGTCATTCTTACTATATAATGACAAAATTTAAAAAAAAATAACTTTGAACATTATAAGCATCGTACAAACACATTTCTATCTTGTATTTTATGCCCTAAGAGATAAACAGATAAAATATGTTTGTGAATTTGTAGCGCAGCTGCTTTTCAATGTTCAACGTGTTTGCAATATCTAACATTTTCCCGTTCATTTAGTAAGTTAACACTTCAGATAAAAGTATGATTTTCATTTAGTCTTTCAATTCAAGTCCTAACTTTTATTTTCTTTATTTATTTCATCCTGCTAGTTGAGATACTACAGTGACGTGTTCGCAGAAGACATATGGACAGCTTTATATGGTTGAAATAAAATCGTCAATAAAAACCATACTCTTATATGTAGCACTTATCATACAAGATAAAAGACATTCATTTTTAGATGAAGCACAAAATCTCAAAATTAGTTTACCCGATTCTGATTAGCTCGTTTCTACACCATATTTGTATTCACGACAATAAACATTTATTATTCAGTATTACGTTTATGTGTTCTGCTTTGAAACGTACTTTTGCGCATATATATGAGGGCTATGGTAAAACAGCTTTACCCAGCTACCTAAACTACAGTAGGGAAAACAAAAAGCTCGAACACATCATTTGACAACAGAGTGGAAAGTCAAATGATTTAATCACTAAGTCATTATAAAGACAATAAAATATTTAGGAAACTTGAAAAGTAGACAGTCTTACTCTTTCTTTCGAATTACGACACAACATAATAAATAGTTTAAAATCGCCATTTTAAACAGTGTATTTTCCACGTGGTATGTAATATATATTTGGTTAAGAGATCTAGGAGAGATCACACTATCTAAATAATAATTATTATTTCAAATAACTTGTTCGCTATTTGTTTTAGTTTTGTCTAATCTAATTTCTTTAAAATAACGTAGATGATGAGAATTCGCCTTTTACACAAATCGGACAGTCAGCTTATTTAACTTAAAATATGGTACACAAGTATCCTAAAGTGTATAAGTAAACATAGAAAGCAACAGTAGTAGTATGTGTTGTATGCTGCTTACTCTAACAGACATAAGTATTATGTAACACCAGTCAGAAGCGAAATGCCTCGCAGCAGAAAATTGCAATCAGGAGAACAGGAAGACAATCGGAGAGAAATCAAAATACCAACAAAATCAGAGGAATAATAGAGTGTGTAAAGGATAACACAAAGAAAATGTGCATATGATGTATTTAATGTATGATTTCCATATTTCACTAAACCACTTTGTGATTTTGCATTGAACAAAAAATTGATTTTCCCTACTGGAGTTTTCGTTCACTACAGTATTAGTAACAGCATACAGTTCGCAAAGCAATAGGGACTAGTGCAAACGATTTTGTATATGTGTATTCAATTTAGTGCGTTTAAAAGTAATTATAACAAAATATTTTCTTTTGATAGGCTAGTGAAAAAATGTTATCAATAGACGGTAATAATCAATGAAATTGTCGCTGAAATTGATTACTGTTGAAGAGAATAATATTTCAGCCTACAATTTTGCTTCACTAGCCAACTCATTATTCAATTGAATGTTGAATGGGTTGTAACGAACGCTAAAGCTAGATGCATTCAAAATTAGTTTAGGGATTGTTGTTTAGTAAAACAGGTAACCAGCTAGGGTGCTAATGTTAATTAGTGATCATTTCTGTTCATAACACAGAACATCTTCACAAGATTTCTGATTGGTTAACTCTAGTCACTGAGAAGAAATATTCGCACATAATCAATACGTTTAAATGCAAGTGATGCATAGGTGACCTATGTTCCAAGAATGGCAATAGGCTTATGTAAGTAAATGATGTATGAGAAGCACTAACCAATACATCAATGTATTTAAGCCTGGAATTTTTTCATTATGTCCAAAGGCTATGATGTAAAAAAGTTAAAACGAATTTCATAGTCAACTAAAGAAGAAATAAACAATAAACACTGTTTATAGGACAGGAGACAATAATAATAAGACCTATTATGCTTTTTGATGGAATTAGCCATATCGTTCTCCTTCGTGTGTACTTTTATTTCAAGGTTGTCTGATTGTTGCTACCTTCATCAGTGATAGACAAAACTATTTATGATTGTCAATTTTTTGTTGAAAATGATTCAATTTCTTTTATTTTTGTAATTACCATCAGACTGATCTCAGTTAAATAACCGGTAAAAACTAGGAAGCATTTGACAATTATTTCGTTCTAGTACGGGACTCCTCAGCAATCCATATCAACGATCACATCTCAAAGGATCGAATTCAAGATATTTAGTCTCGCATACGAACGCTTAACTTCTAGAAATGTAGGACATTGGACGCTGGTTCATTGGTTCAGAGGGTATGAGTCCCTGTACGAAGAAGGTCCTGAGTTTGATCCGCCCCCCCAGTAGTATGATCGTGGGTGTACACTGAAGAGGAGTCCTATACTAGAACAGAACAGCTGTCCAGTGCTTCCTGGTTTCCAATGGTTCCCCAACTAAGATCAGTTCGTGGTGTTAAAAATGAAATCGAAAAATCTCCATAAGTCACCCTCCACAATAATGATAAAACGAAGTTACTTGGATCGTTTCATATTTTTGAAAGTTTTATGGAAATACTAATCATCACTTCTTAACTATTTGTTTATCTATCTGTATTCGTTCAATTTTATATACTCAGTGAGTGTTAGCTAATAAGAAAACTATTCATCAATCATGTCGATTGGGAAAGTGGTATCAACTTCAGGAACTATATTTATATATACTTCACTTAAGCCTATGAGTGAACAGACTTTGCGAATCAAGAGTTTCTTATGAAAAAGTAGAACGATGTTCAAATTTAGGTAGTGTTCTTAAGGTGTATATTGGTTTTTCGCATGTTTGTGGTCGGTTTTATATATTTAATGGTAGACTGTTTTTATTACGAAAATATCGCGTTCACAATATGATTAGTTTATACTTGAGTTATTTTTTCAAAAACTTATAAACACTTTTATAATCTGTATTTTTTTTTTTACAGTTTCTACAATATTCGTGTGAATACTCCCTGAAAGTTTTGTAAAGTTACGCCACTTAACATTATTGAGTTAGACAAGAACAAATTAGAATCTGGCATATATGTTTGTTGGTTCAAGTTGTCGTACAATACAATGAGATGAATAGCAAAAGAATTGAAACAACCTATCAAAAATAATGTTCATAAAGACTGAACATTGAGAATATGGTTTAAAAAGACAGTGACAAAGTAACCATGACAACAATAAAACACCTGCCAGCATAATTTCCGACATTTCAAGTAGTTTATACGACACCAAGGTTTATATTATTCACTATGTTAATAATGAAACCGTTTAGCTATGAAATTAGAACAATCAGAAGAAGAACGGATTTATAATACTAAGCTTCCTTTACAATCAGTTTAGACGTTACACAATGTCTAATTCAGTGTATGGCTGCACAACAGACAAATTTCTCGTTGATTTCAAGAGTTTCGAGCATTGAATGAAGATACCTTCTACTAGGTTTTTTATAGCGTACAAACTGTCACTGTATTTTGAATTTCGTGTACAAACTGAAGACTCGCCAACTCAAGCATGATTGGCTCGTTGATAAAATATAGATTCACTGATTTTATAGTGGACTGAAATCAGCTGGAGAACCATTAAAAACTTTATTTTAGTAATCATAATGGTAATAATGTGCCCATAAATAATTAACTTCAAGAGACTTTCTTGGAGTTCTAACAAGAAGCACTGACTAATCAACTCTGAAGGAGGAGAGTAGTGGAGTATTGACTGAGGTCGGGTACATGTGCTACCTAATCCCAATTCCATTATTACAATGCGTTAACTTCAACTGACTTTACAAGTTCTGATGTTTTATTATTATTATTATTATCATCATCACGAAATTGAGTTTTTGAAAAATGTTCGATTTGAATTTAGTTGTTAACATTATCACAGACCGTCATTCAGTAAAAAATCACTAACAACTAAGGATTACCGCCACACAAACTTAATCAGTAGGATTCATCTCTGTCGGGAGAAGAACAGAAATGATCGACAACATTGAGTGAAAATCCTGCTGTATAAATTACGAACATACTAAAGTTATATATGTGCGTTATTGAATTCCCACCAAGTGGTCTGAAGGTATGAACGTTCACAGGAATCTACAGTACAACATTATGCTCTTCAATAATTCTCTAGTTGATAATAAATTATCTTGAAAAACTAAACGATTCATGTTGCGGTGCTACGATTTACGCGCTAAATAAACAGAACTGTTTACAAAAAAGTTGGCTTAATAATGGTGGAATCAAATAAAGAGTACATCATATATATATACAACGCTAGCAATAATATCAGTAATAATACGCACCAAATATTTTGTTCATTACCAAAATTCTATAGATAGGATTAAAAAGGTTATTTACTTATTCGATTCGATGATATTTATTTATGTTTCTAACACTAATAATGATTTAACCATGCACAAAAATGAGTTGAATCAAGTGTAATGACCTTAATTATTAGATTCATAATAAAAAACAGACTACAAGGTGAATTCCATACACATATATATACGAATGTTTACTAGTCAGTTAATTACTATTATTATCAGCATAAAATTGTGGAGATTCTTAAGTTTCATTGAGATCATGAACCATTCTAGGTTAGACTACCACTGGGAACATAGAAGCATTGAACGGCTGTTTTGTCCTAGTATGAGACTCTTCGGAAGCGCACATTGACGATCCCGCAAGTGAGAAGCATACCCAGGACCTTCAGTCTCGCTCACGAACGCTTAAATTCTACTTCACTGAGCTAATATGCGACGGTGTTAATGTCTAATTTCAATCAATCCACAACGTTGAGTGACTATTTTCCATTGTCTTTGGTGGGTAATTGCCTCAAGACCGACACTATTGAACTCCACTAGTCATGGTTTCTCATTAGAACTCCAAGAATTCTCTCTCGAAGCTAGTGAGCATATGGTTATTATTTATCTTTCATTTCATTATAATTACATTTTGATGTTAGGTAGAAGACAGCAGTAAACTCTAAACCAAGGTTTCATCCTAGTTACCAATCGTCAGTAAGGTGTACCCGCAAATTTCAGGTAACTGAAACTTCCAAATGAATTCAAACCTGGGTCAATCAGTTTCACAGTCTGAGATGCCACCACTGAGTTGTTTAGGCCTGTCCTGTAGAAATGAGATATTCCCACCAGTTGATTACTGAGAAGTTAGTTACCCACCAATGACACTAAAAGATAATTACATAATATCGCAAATTAATTGAAGTCAAATATGTAAATCATGGGATGATCTAAAGCTTAAGTGCCCGTCAAAAGACTTGAGGATCCTAGTTCTAACCCCTCGTGAGGGCATGGCTATGCAATGCCACTGCATAAAACGATATATTAGAATGAAGCAACTATCCAGTGCTTCTTACTTTTTAATGATTATCTAGTTAAGGACAATTCATGGTGTGAACTATAACATTCGCTAATCTCCGGCAACCCCACTATACAAATGATAAAATAAATATGCAACTAATTTTGATGGATATACAGTTTTATTTCCTTATGACTATTGATTTTTTCCCTTTTTCGAAAAAAAACAAGGACAATTTGAATCGCGACAAACAACAAGCAAGGATATAGACTTACATTATCAAACTCGACATCCCAAGCGGACCTTGTTATAACGTATTCGACTTCATCACTCATATACTGATGCAGTGTTCTATCACCACAAAAAGAGTGAAGGCAGAAAAAACACTAATTACAAAATTTGTAGAATATCTTTTCATGAAAATAAATATTTAATTATGGGCTGGATGAAAATGAATAGACTAGAGGATCGCAGTCAATCATAACATCCTAGATTTCAGCTGTTAATTAAATTGAGAATGAATATATATTGTTGTGCCACTTACAATGCTGGGGAGTCTCACAATGGGACGAAACGGCCGTTTAGTGCTTTCAGGTTTTTCATGGTGGTCTAGCTTCAATTGACTCATGATCTCAACTATTAAAATTACTATAATATCCACAAAATCCCTTCTGATAATGTTCTATTTGTTTTAAATAAACCTAATGATTGGATACTTGCCACTTAATTATGTTTTCTGCTTTGATAGGCTTCTTTTCACAGACAGTGAGAAGACGAGTGAGTAGCACTTCCATTTACTTGATAGACAAACGGATATTTAGTAAGTGCTAAAGTGGTGTAAGTCGACAAAATTCCTGTAAATGTCCGTACCGAATGAAGTAAATCCTAATATTCCCATTATTACTGGTTACAGCTTAGTGCAATTTAATCACGGTACTATCACCAAATAAGCGTACTGGATTTTTTGCAAAATTTCAAAACTTATAAGTTTACAGGAAAGTATAAATTAAATCAGTAGATGTGCTAGGTCGAGTCGTTATAGTTTCAAAGAGCATAACAGGCAACACTTGAAAAAGACAAAATAATTAAAAGGACCACAAAAGATAGATGAAGTGATAACAAAGATATGAGTTCAATATTATGAAATATTCAATATGTGGTGGATAGTAAAACGAATACAGCAATAAAAGTTCGTTTTCCAGTCATTTATCAGTGTTTTTCGCTGCTAACTTGTTTCAGGTGCAGAAAACCGTCAATCACAACAGCCAAACGTAGCTGTCTATTTTAATCGTAATAAACTGTAGCTGACGGCATGGATTGATGCTGTTTTAATGTGACCAACCTAAGTGTTTTTCAGCCACTGTCAGTGAATTTGTGTACGAACTGAGATACTGCCTGATCGCCTAAACCGAAGCAGATCGTTTTCTTAGGGACGACTCCCCGATCCTTTGACCTACAGTTCTAATCCACAAGGCAGGGAAGAAATTTAGGAGATGCAGCCCCAAGGTAACTGGTGTCCAAAAATAAATCCATATATCATTTGTTTCTTCAGGAATCTGGAGCCTATGTTCACCAATGATTTGGAATTCAGGTTTCCCAACTCTCCTAGATGGATCCTCCGTACTCACCAACGCAGTTGGGATAACCGCATATTCGCTTTTTGTCCTCTCAATTTCATAGACAAGACCCCCGCTACGAGGAGTTAGTAAGTAAGACTTTCCTGGAAGTGCCCAATTGCAGTACATAACATTAACATCAGGAGGCTACAAACACTTGGTAAATAATGAAGTTGATCTTAACAGTACCAATAAAATAATTTTCGTTTCACTGTATATGTATGGTTTGTAAATTGAGTGTAAAAAATAATAAAGAAAATAACATATCAAAACTTATTAAAATAATTGCGTGATGAATCTATTGTAAACAAGAGTTTAATTTTCAGTAGAGATTTAATTTTAAGACCTAACTTTTGACTATGTGTTTTCCATCAAGAGTTTCAGATTTTGCTACCATTGACGTGTTCATAACAAACAGTTGAGAATAACTCTAAATAATTGAAATGAAACCTTAAGTGAAAATTACACTTCAATGCGGACACTCACTCATCAGACGAACGGTAACATGGTTGAAAGCGCTGGATACACTACATTTGTTGAAGATCGAAAACGTTGGCAATAACTTCAAACAGTTAATGATAGTCTGTGGCGAAAACCATCTTCACATACATACAAACCTTACCACAAAATAATACCTGAGCAACCAAAATGCTAGATCAGCGATCAAGTACAAATTAATTAATAGTTAATCGTTATAATGATGATAACGATCATAGTAACACACTTGTTTTTGTTCTCTACAGACATTGTCCCAAATTTAGTTTGGTCTACATATTTTTCACAGATTAGACACGTGATCAAAGAGTGGACTAAATAATGGACATTTTAAGCCTGATTGTAACTGGCTAAAAGTGGTGTAGAGACAATGGTTCAAATAGACATGCATGATCAGGGTAGTAGCATAGCGGCATAGTTACAAAACGGTAAACCAATAGAATGTAAGTAGAAAAAACACAAATAATATGTTATAAACAGTATTATACTACTGAAAATTACTTAATATTGAAACATTTCATGAAAGAGTAATGGTAAAGTTAGGTATTTTAATACGCTTTATTTCAACTACAATCATAAATCCAGGGTGAGTGAATATTAGCGCCTGGACAAGGGGTCAGATGTTGAATATTTTCATAAGAGAAAATACAACCAGGGGATAATATGTCATATGAGTATACACATAGATGAACAGACAGTAGACTAGTTGAGCATAAGCAACGTAGAATATTGAACATAAGTGCATCGGTTCCAGTTGTTATCATGCCATATCAAAACAAAGATGAAATTATCAAGGTAAATGCCTGAGTAGTAGAGATAGTAACAGTATCAGTGATAATTAAAAAAAATAGGTATAGAAAATATGATTCGAGAAAAAAGGACATTATGAAAAAACCGACAAACGAGAGCAGTTTGCATAGAAATTATGGTTAACAGGACTGATATGTACCGGGGAGAAGAAATCAAATGAATGAAGTGAAACAAGATATTTGGGATTTTTAGAGAGAAGCATGGTGTTAACAAAATAATTTACGAGGTTGGTGGTACGCCTGTTACCAATCTTGAAGGATTGATTGAACAATAAGTGAATTATTTCAAAAGAAAATGTAGTTAACTTATTGTAATAACAACTTCGATCAACCTATTCTGTTTTGAATAACCAGTGTGTAGTGAATCACACAACAAAGCACCAAGCGTATTCCAAATACATAGATGCTACACAATACTTAGTAAAGACAGACTATCCACCATAATTTTCAAAAGTGAGAGACATTATGCTCTAAGAATAAGCTAGGTTGTTTACAAAGTGTACAATCACTTTAAATCGGAGAGATCGTTGTAACCACCCACACAAATGGCAAATATAATACATATAAAAACAGTTTTGGTACAAGGGTGCATTAAAGTTACACGCAAATTATTGGCTTCTGCTATTCCGCACAAAATACAAGAATAACTGATTTCGTGAGGGGCAGGTTATGTTTCGGTTAGGTAGTAAACCCATTAATCATTGTTCGACCCTGAAGTTAACTGTTCAAACACTATCACAGACTTCTTTATTTAATTAGACAGGAGTTCGCCTTAGGATTGTCTGTTAGAAAACGTGTAAAGATCGACTAACATCTGCAAAACCACTAACTAAACAAAACAAGTAGAGAGAAGGAATACAACCACATCTCTTCATTGTCCTAAAACCAGCAATAGATTAGATGGACTTTTCACTCTCTTTAATCTTAACATGTATGCAACTGTCGATAAGTCTTTGAAGAAAGTGTGTGATAGTGCTGTATACCTGTTACATGAGTATGTGAATGATATTTTGTGGCCCGCTGATATAACTCCAATTCGATCGAACGATGATGTTAACGAAATATACATGTCACCAATACTCGTATATAATTACCGACTTAGTTCGTGTTAACGGAATAAAACAGGCTAAACACGAAACTAATTTTGGATATACGTATTTCACACACTTGCTAGTGCAGACAGACAATCAGAAAACCAAACCTGAGAAGGCAAGTGCGAAAACTCCATTTAATAAGCATGACTCAATATTTAAAACCAGACAAAAATAAGCTTAAGGCATATGATGAATAGGGTAAGCGATGGAAACCTATGCGCACAAAGATAAACAGTCAAGGTTAATAAGTGAATAACTGATAAGGTCAAAATGTGACTGAAGAAGAATAAATTAACTGATTTGTCCGGAAGTTAGAATAATTCATGTGGGATAACATGGTACCATACACAACAGATAACCGCTGATAGTGATAGGATATGGGATATCGAAATCCCGCTTCGGTCAGCGTTGGTACAGCAGAAATGAAAGGTATGAGAGGTGACTAAAGTATAAATCAGCAACTCTGTGAATAATTCCATGTAAGGTATCTATCGAACGATCATACTTATCTCGCGAACCGAAACCAAGGTATCTACACATGACTAATACGACTCGAGTATCCAGACGATACGGTTATATTTTCATCAGTGGTAGTCTTAAGAACTAAGATGCATTTTACTTAACTTTAAGCTGAATTCATCAATTTATTTGAAGATCAACATGCTTGGTCGTTTTAAGAAAGATTAGTAGAGTTTGGAGAGGTTCGTTCTTGATACTTTTAGAACTGAAGTTATTGTATGTAGGTAGAAGGCGAATACTGTTGCATTCTGGAATCGCCACTGCAATTCCTAGACCCTTCTGCTCATACTGAGAAACAGTAAGTGTGATCATTTTAACCAATATTAGAGACTTCGAATAACATGGCTCAAAATCGTTCGTGACAAGGTAGATACATTCACTTTTTGTCTTCCCTAAGATCCCAAGATTTCAAATCCCACATAAACGTTTTTATTATCTCACTGATTCATGTTTTATCGAATTGTATTTTTGATGCTTAATCTTTTCTATTACCATAAATACTGTTACTACCTGAACTACTCTGGGATTCACTGTGACGATTTTACTTAACTGTGCTAATAGGGTATGATAACTTGAACCGATGTACATATGTGGCAAGGTTCTACGTTATATTTGACTGACTGACGGATGAAGTCAACACTGATTATTATCGAGTTACTATGGCTACTTATGTGTAAAGAATAAATTTACTGTCCGTTATTACAATTCTGTATATTTTTATTATTATTATTATTGTTTTTAAACATCGTACAAACTAAATCGATTAGCGTCCACTAGTGTGTGTATGTGAATGTTTCGATATGAATTTTCGGACCAAC